ATTGTTTAAGGACTGTTGACTCCCACATGATGAACCACAGTTCGAGTTCCGGGCCTGGAGGCTTGCTTTCTCACTTTCTCTCTCTCTCCCTCCCTCCTTCTCTCTGTTTCCCTCCCTCTCTCATCAAAATAAAACAAATAAAGTTAAATAAAATGATTCTTTAAAAACAAACAAACAAACAAACAAAAAACACATAGGGAAATAAGAAGTGAAATTATCTGTTGCCAGATGACATGATTATATGCACTGAAAACCCAAAAGAATCTACAAAAAAACTCCTAGAAGTGAAACATGAATATAGTAAAGTGGCAGGATGCAAAATCAACATACCAAAATGGCATTTCTATACACTAACAGTGAACAGTATGAGGTAAAACTGAAAAAAAAAAAAATCCATTTACAATAGCTGCAAAAGAATTAAAAATAACTGGGAATAAACATAACCATAGAAGTCAAAGACCTTGAAAAAGGCATCCCTGAGCCCGCCGAGTTGGTACCATGAGCAAAGCTCACCCTCCCGAATTGAAAAAATTTATGGACAAGAAGTTATCATTAAAATTAAATGGTGGCAGACATGTCCAAGGAATACTGCGGGGATTTGATCCATTTATGAATCTTGTGATAGATGAATGTGTGGAGATGGCAACTAGTGGGCAACAGAACAATATTGGAATGGTGGTAATACGAGGAAATAGTATCATCATGTTAGAAGCCTTGGAACGAGTATAAATAATGGCTGGTCGACAGAAAAACTGATGTCCCCTTGTCAACAGGCCCGTTTTTACTATGATGTAAAAATCAGGTCATGTACATTTCCATAATAAACTTTTTGTTAAGTAAAAAAAAAAAAAAAAAGAAGTCAAAGACCTTTATAAGGAAAACTGGAAAACTAAAAAGAAAAATTTTAAATGATACAAAAAGGTAGAAAGATATTCCGTGTTCCAAAATTGGAAGAATATAATCAAAATGTCAATTATACCCTAATTCATCTTCAAATTTAATGCAATCCCAAATTACCAGAGATATTCTTCACAGACTTAGCAAAATCAATCACAGAATTCAGATGTAATCATAAAAGATCTCAAAGAGCAGAGTAGAGGGCATCTCACTTCCTGACCCCCAAATTATTACAAAGCTGTGATAATCGAAACAGCATGGTATTGGGACAAAAACAGGTATGTGGACTATTGGAACAAAATAGAGACTCCAGAAGTAAACCTCTAAACATACATTCAACTAATTTTTGACAAAAGGCACCAGTCTGTCCAGTAGGGAAAAGAAAATCTCTTTAGCAAATGGTGCTGGATAAACCCGAGTATTCACCTGCAGAAAGATGAAGCTGTACCTTTATGTCTCACCATTAACAAAAAATCAATTTGTGGACCAGGAGTTAGCGTAATGGCTATGTTGCTGGACTACCATGTAGTCGACCATGGTTCGAGTCCCGGACCCGGTGGCTTAAACTCACACTGGGCGCGTGTGCATGCATGCCCAAAATCCCGAGAGGAGAATGGAGGAGAAGCGATTGCCGTGTGGCCATCCCCCCTGAGGGGTGATTTCTCGCTTTCTGTCTCTCTGTCTCTCTCTGTTTTTCTGGCACTTACACGCGCCCTGTAGCCAAAAAAAAAAAAAAAAAAAATCAATTCAAAATGTATCAAAGATCTAAATCTAAGGCTCAAACTATAAAACTCCTAGTCAGTTACACAGGGGAAGTCTTGGAGACATCGGAGTAGGCAAAGACTTCTTAAATAAGACTCCTAAAGCACAGGCAATAATCCTGAAAATAGACAAGTGGGGTTACATCTGGTTAAAAAGCTTCTGCCTAGCAAAAGAAACAATAATTAGTGAGAATGGGCAACCCTCAGAATGGGAGAATATATTTGCAAACTATGCCACAGAAAAAGGGACTGATAACTAGAATATACTGAGAACTCAAACAACTTACCCGCCACCAATAATCTACCCAATTAAAAAATGGGCAAATGAGCTGAACAGACAACTCTGTAAATAAGACATTTGAATGGCCAAAAGCCCATGAAAAAATTCTCACATCCCTTATCAGAAGGGAAATGCACATCAAAACCACAATGAAATATCACCTAACTCCAGTCAGAATGGCTAAGGTTAAAAAAGTTATTTAAATGACAAGTGCTGGTGAGGCTGTGGTAAAAATCGAACTCTCCTACACTGTTGGTAAGAATGTAAATTAGTACAACTATTGTGGAGAACAATATAGAGATTCCTCAAATATCTACAGACTACCATATGATCCAGTGATTTTACTCCTGGGTATCTACCCCAAGGATAGGAATACACTCAGTTGAAAAAGTATTTGCAAATCAACATTTATTGCAGCATTATTCCCAATTGCTAAGACATGGAACCAACCCAAATGTCCACTAATAGATGAATGGATTAAAAGAATGTCACACATATACACTATGAAATACTACTCAGTCATAAAAAAAGAGACCCTGGGATTTGATAGAAAGTGTACAAATAAGAAAGCTTTACTGCTGAGTGAAGCAAGCCAGACTATGAAACAGAGACGTTGTATGTCCGCACTCTATGGCAGAAATTGAAAGACTGGAAGAAATAAAAGCATGGAGACCAATTGTGGATGCTAGAGACAGTGTGGGAGGAGAGCGGGAAAAGGGAGAGGGTGAGAGGTAAGGAACTAAGTGGGAAAAGAAGCAGGACCTCAAAGTGACACACGAATGGAAAATTATCTGTTGTTTACTATGTGTATAAGAATATCTTTAACTGGACGAAAATACTGGGAAATGTATTCATTTCACAAGCTGTGGTGATGTACAGTGATTAACTGTATAAAAAAAAAGAAAAATAAACCATAAAAACCCTAGCAAGTGAGTTGGTGCTATTAGGACCAGATTTAAAAAAGAAAATAGTACTCTGAGTAATTTATGAACAAGAATTAGACTACACTCCATTAGACTTAGGTAGGGATTCGGAGGGCTGTAAACATAGGCTAGCTGTGGTTTTCTTTTTTTTTTTTTTTTCCCCTTAGTTTGTTTCTTTCAAGAGATAGAAAGACACACAGAAAGAGAGAAAAAAGAAGTGCGAGAAGGAAAGACGAGTACCCTCAACAGTCTCAGGCAATGATTGTCTCCACAAGCCAGCCAGGATTGGTGCATAAGCACTCATATCTGCCCCAGAACTGAACCCTGACCTTTCACATGGCTGCTGGCATTGCAGAACAGCACACTATCACTGTAATACCATGGCTAGGCCACTGAATTATATTTAATAGGTTTATTTTTGTGTGGGCATGGGCAGAGTGATTCTGAAAGTTTGGGGTATTATTATTATTATTTTTTCTTTTGGAGAGGTTTTTGCTATAGGGTGCATGTGCTCACCAGAGAGAGAGAGACAGAGAGACAGAAAGCGAGAAATCACCCTCTGGGGGGATGGCCATGACGCAATTCCTTCTCTCCTGTTCTCCTCTTGGGATCTTGGGCATACACACACATACATGCCCAGCTTGAGTTTAAGCCACCAGGTCCAGGACTTGAACCGCGGTTGACTACATGGGAGTCCAGTGACATAGCCATTACGCCAACTGGTGGTCCCCAGTTTGGGGTATTTTATAGTATCGCACAAATAAGTAAATACATCAATGTTGCTGGAAGTCAGGGTTCTCACTATGGAAGGAGAATGCTTTACACAGGGAATGAGAAAAGACATAGCTGAAAAAAGAATGAATTGCAATTAGAAGTATTGGTGTGGACTCAGGATTTCCGAAATATACATATATGTGTGTATTTATGTGTGATACATTTTATATGTATATAATACGTATGCAAATATTGTGTAAAAAGGTATCAAATACACACACACACACACACACACACACACTCTCTCTCTCTCTCTACAGTAAAGATTCCCCACCAGCAGTACACATGCTTAACACCCAGATCTTGCTTTCAGCTACAGTGTTCTAATTAAAAGGAACCAACAATGCTCAGAGAAAGGATTGTTTCTCCAGGGCTGAGAAAGGAAAGGTATAAAATGAGTTTGGAACTCTTTTATTTTTTAAATTGAAGCATGATTTACTTAAAACGAACCATATTAAACTGTACCGCTCAGCGGCTTTTAGCACATTCACAATAGTATGCAACCTGTGTGTAATGAATGGCAGGAAATTCTTGTTATTGAAGGTTATAAGAAAGTGCTCAAAACACACTGGGAGTATGTTACCGGGAAGACCTGAGGGGGCTTCTACTGTCCAGGTCTGGGACAATTTAAATGTCAAAACAGTTAAGGGTGGTAACAAGTTATCAGTCACTTAGAAAGTGGGAATGCATCCAAAACATTTGTAAGAAGAAAAATAAATGTTTGAGGAGGGGCTCTTTTTCACAGAATACTATTATAGACTAAATGGTGACCCTCTAAAATTTTAAGTTAAAATCCCAATCCTCAGTGTGACTATATTTGGAGACAGAGACTTTAATGAGGTAATTAGAGTTAAATGAAGCCGTAAGGGTCATAAATCCACTAAGAACGGTATCCTTATAAGAAGAGGAAAAAACAGTGGGGATACATACCACGGGAGCACACTGTCTCCTGCAAGCCAAGGAAGAGACACCTCAAGAGAAAACTACCCTGATCTTAGACTGCCATCCTCCAAAGCTGTGAGAAATGCACAAATGTTATGAAGCCACCCAATGTGTGGTATTGTGTTATGGCAACTCAAACTGACTAATACAAATACTTAGTGTCAACTGGTCGATGGAGAAGGAGAGCTGGAGTTGAAGAAAAAAATCCTCTTACTACCATTGTGTAGTTAAGACTGTTTCAGGCAAGAATCATCCAGATCTAAATTTAGAGGAAATCTTTGGCGAGGACCAAGGCTATTTGCATGATCTTAAAGTGTCTCCCCACAAACTGCCTTTTAGTTACAAGGGAAGCCTTTTAACAATTGAAATGAAGCACCACATTGACTAGTGACCAAATTAATCACCAAGGAAGGACAGATGGACATCATGGATATGATACCCTACAGAGGAGACAACAATGCTCATGTACTATTTGACTAGGAAAACAGAGCCCGAATCTAATAATGGAAAAAACATCACACAAACCCCAAACAGGGAATGTTCTATTTTAAAAAGAGAAACTGTTTTCAAAAAAAGACTAAAGAAATGTGCCAACTAAATGCAGTGTATGATTCTAGACTGGATCTTATACTGGAAAATATTACTGGGTGGCATAAGCAGCCACTGAAACTGTCCCCAGTAATCCCCAATATCTCTTGGTATTTACATCCCTCTATAATCATCTCTCCTGAATGAGATGGGACTTACTGAATATCTTTTATAAAAATAACTAGATTATGACAGAAATAATGGAATATCACTTCAAGGTTTGGTTACAAAGGATTGATGGAGGCTTACATGTGGAATGCCTGCTCTGTCACTCACTCATTCTAATGTAAGCCAGCTACCATGCTGGGAGCGGCCCTGTGGAGAGGACCACATGGTGAGAACTGTGGGAGGCTTCTGGTCAACAACCTGTGAGGCAATGAATCCTGCCAACATTCACATAAGTGAGTACAAAGGTGGATCCTCCCCAAGGTGAAACTTCAGATCAGGCGATAGCCTTACATGACACTTTGACTAGAGATTGGTGAAAATCCCTGATCCAGAGGACACTTGCCACACCCAGACACCTAACCCACTGAAATGGATATCTTAAATATTTGTCGTTATAAACTAAATTTTGGTAT